TGTGTGTGTGTGTGTGTCTCTCTGTGTGTGTCTGTGTGTGTGTTAGTCTCTGAGGAAGGTGGGTAAAGACTCCACAGTGCTGCTGATCTGTGTCACAGTGTTCCTGTCGTATCTCCCCGAGGCCGGACAGTATTCCAGCTTCTTTCTCTATCTGGGACAGGTACGTGTTTCGAAACGCTGCTCACAACCCATTCACTCCCTCCGTATGTCTGAGTAAAACAAGGAAATTAAACAAGAAATCAATGTAGCGTGAAATGTGACTTCAAGTTGACTTGGACTTGCAAAAATGATGTTGTTCCTCAGTATTTTTGTCTTGTTTTCCAGTACAAATATCTAAACATCCTTAAATCAAGACGCAATTAATGGAGATGCAAAATGACTTTATATTAAGTATAAACTATATATAAAATTTAACTATATTAAGTCTTGTTTCCTAAAAAAAATGCATCAAAATGAAGTGAATCTATGCTTAAAACAAGAAAAAATATCTAATAATTTTTTTTGGTCACAAACTCGTATAATCAATATCTGTATTGATCGTATAATCGATGATATGAAAATAAAAACTAATTTAAAAACCATAAACTCACTTATCTTTGAGTTTATTCAGAAAACAAGACTTAATATCATAAATTATTTTGTGTCTCAAGCATATGAATCTTGATTTCAGAATTTTTAGATATTTGACCTATCATGACCTACTTGAACTGAATTGATCGGATTAATGACTCTATTGTCTTCTGTAGAGCAGCTAAAATTGAATTATTTTCATAATTGATGAATTTTGCAACATTAACACTGTTATTTTCCTTTGAAGCTGCTTTGACACAATATGCATTGTATAAAGCAAATAAAGAAATGAACGTGCCTTGACTGGAGCGCGGACGTTAAAAACTGTGCGTTATGTTTCAGGTCATTAACTTCTCCTCAGAAGCGATTGCAGCGTTTATTGCGATGGTGGGAATCCTGTCCATCATAGCACAGGTACAGACCTTCAGCTCCAGACACTCGTTTATGAGATGATATGTGACCTGTGCTGGCAAAATTAGTGTGAATGCGCACAGGATAATTTTGAGCTACTCTCAAAAAAAGCGAAAAATTTCATGCGAAATGGTCTAATTTGAGATTTTCACAAAAATTAAGCCCTCGTCTAGCGATCCCAATGCTCCAAATAGTAATTAAACATCTAAACGTATCTTTATTTGTACGTTTTCTGAGAGGAGTACTCTTGCTTCTCGCGCTCGAAGCGCACACATAAAGCGCTCTATCCCAAAAACACACACACGGGTGCATCTCAAAAAATTAGAATATTGTGAAAAAGTTTCTGTAACTTATTTCAAAAAGTGAAACTTGCATGTATTTTAGATTCATTACATGTAATGTTTTTTTTTCTTTTTTAAATTTGGATGATTAGAGCTTACAGCTCATGAAAGTCAAAAATCCAGCATCTCAAAATATTAGAATATTTCCTAAGATCAATCAAAAACAGGATTTGCAAAACAGAAAAGCTCAAGTTGTTTAAAGTATGTTCATTTCTGTGCTCAATACTTGGTCGGGGCTCGTTTAGCACAAACTCCAGCATCAGTGAGGTGTGGCATGAAGCGATCAGCCTGTGGCTCTGCTGAGAAACTATTGAGCTTCAGCTCAGATCCACTGTTTCTCATCTTTCTCTTGAAAACATCCCATAGACTCCATATGGGCTTCAGGGCAGGCATGCTGGCTGGCCAAACAAGCACAGTAATATCATTGGAAGTGGTTTTGGCTCTGTGGGCAGGTGCTAAAGTCCTGCTGGAAAAGGTAATCAGCATCTCCATAAAGCTTGTCAGCAGATGGAAGCATAAAGTGCTCAAATCTCCTGCTAGACGGCTGCTTTGACTTTGGACTTGATAAAACACAATGGAGCAACACCAGCAGACGTCACGGCTCCCCAAATCATCTCTGACTTCAGAAACTTCACACTGGACTTCAAGCAGCTTGGATTCTGTGCCTCTCCAGTCTTACTCCAGACCTTGATTTCATCTGAAAAGAGGGCTTTGGATCACTGAGCAGCAGTCCAGTTTTTCTCCGTAGCCCAGGTGAGATGCTTCTGACGTTGTTTCGTTGTTGGTGACTCTTGATGCACTGACTCCAGCTTCAGTCCACTCCTTGTGAAGCTCTCCCAAGTGTTTGAATCAGCTTTGCTTGACAGTATTCTCAAGCTTGCGGTCATCCCGGTTGCTTTTGCATCTTTTCCCACCCACTTTCTTCCTTCCAGTCAACTTTGCATTTAAAATGCTTTGATACAGCACTCTGTGAAATAATGAGCTTCTTTGACTTACTCTCTTTGTGGAGCATGTCAATGATCGTCTTCTGGAGCATTGCCAAGTCAGCAGTCTTCCACATTATCGTGGTTTCAAAGAACAAGAGATACCCGGAATTTATACTGTATAGGGATGGCCATTTAATGACACTCGAATGTAAATATTCTAATATTTTGAGATACTGGATTTTTAACTTTTTTTATGAGTTGTAAGCTCTAATCATCAAAATTAAAACAAAACAAAAAAACTTGTGAAATGGTTTACTTTACACGTAATGTGATTTTTACATTTTACTATTTGTTCACTGCAAAAAAAGATTCTCTTACTTAGTGTTTTTGTCTGGTTTTCTAGTATAAATATCTAAACATTCTTGAATCAAGATAATTTTACTCGTACAGTAAATGCATCTTGATTCAAGAATGTTTAGATATTTATACTAGAACACAAGACACAAACACTAAGTAAGAGAATGATTTTTGGCATAAAAGAGAAATGTATAATTCTGACCCATACAATGTATTGTTGGCTATTGCTACAAATATCCCCCAGCGACTTAACACTGCTTTTGTGCTCCAGGGTCACAAATACAGTTGGTTTTGCATGCTTCATGATTATTTGTTCATGCAGACGTTACTGTTAAGCGTCCTGATGAAGAAGATTGGGAATAAATGCACAGTGCTGCTTGGACTGGGGTTTCAGTTGTTCCAGCTGGCTTGGTACGGCTTCGGGTCTGAACCGTGGTGAGAATCTGCCATTGATTGTACTGGGAAGTGAGCAGTGCTGTGAATGGTGTGAGTAACTCTGTGTTTGTTGATGATAGGATGATGTGGGGGGCTGGTGCTGTGGCTGCTGTGTCCAGCATCACCTTTCCAGCCGTGAGCGCGCTGGTGTCTCGCTGCACGGATCGCGACCAGCAGGGTGAGAGACGAAACACAGCAACACGCTCGTCAATACTGTTCAAAACCACCTTCTTACTCAGTTTTACAGTGCAACTATCTAAACATTCTTAAAGGGACATTTTACCCAAAAATTTAAATGTGATGTTTATCTGCTTACCCCCAGGGCATCCAAGATGTAGGGGACTTTGTTTCTTCAGTAGAACACAAACTGAGATTTTTAACTCAATCCGGTGCGGTCTGTCAGTCATATAATGTAAGTGGATGGGAATCACAGCTTTGAGAGTCAAAAAAACATACACAAACAAACCCAAATGAAACCCTGCGGCTCGTGACGATACATTGATGTGTAAAGACACGAAAC